GCGAGTCTCCTGCCTCTGCCTCCCAAGTAGCTGGGACCACAGGCGCCCGCCACAACGCCCGGCTATTTTTTGGTTGCAGCTGTCATTGTTGTTTGGCGAGTCCGGGCTGGGGATTCGAACCCGCCACCTTAGGTGTACGTGGCTGGCACCTTAGCCGGTTGAGCTATAGGCGCCGAGCCCTGGTATTTCTATAACTCCAAAATTGACATCCTAGAGAAGTCTTTGTCATTTCTCTTCTATTTTCCATTTCTCTACCTGTTCTGAGGCCAATTACTTCAACTTTTGTTCCATACCCTTAATTGAGTTTTTTCACTTTTGCTATCATGTTTTAAATCTTTATGCCCCAGATTGCATGTTTTCTTATTTTGTGCATACAATGTAGTTTATTATTCTAAGAACATTATGGCAGAGCTTTTTGGTTTTGTTTGGATTTACATTTTCTTTTTTCTGAATGGTTTCCAATTCCCCCAAATCACTTTTTCACATTTGCTTAGGTTTTGATCTTGCCCTTGACAATCCCTCCTCCAATGCCTGGTGCTCCCTGGTCATCTGATCATGCACAAGCATCTCCAAGCCTATGGGGTGGGGAGGGTTTAGTTTATTGACTTGGGGGATATAGCATGTAGACTGGTCAGATTTCCTAGAAATACTCTATAGTCTTCTACTGGAAGGGTAAGGGTCTGCTTGCTTAGAGGCAGGTAGTTACTTAATTCCCCTAAGGAATGTATCCAGGCCTTCAGATATGCTGGTCAGTGCCCCATCCCTCCTGACGCCCTCCCTCTTTTATGCTTTTCAAAGAGAGCCTCTGCCTTCTGTGAGAGTGAGCAAGGGATTGCCAAGCTGTGTATAGCTAAAGGTGACATCTGGGCTCTCTGCTTTTCCAGCAATTTCTTCCCAATCTTCCTTATTTTGGACACCTACCTGCCTTAGGCCCCCAGGCCCAGAAAATTCCTGAGACTTTTTGGGGGTTCTCTGATGTAAATCTGACTGGTTCTTGGATTTCTCCACTAAAGACCTGGAATTTGGTTGTATCTGCTGAATCAGAATATTTCAGTCAATGACAGACCATGTACACAGCAGTGGTTTTCTAGGATTATAATGGAGCTGCAAAGGTCCTATCACCTGGTGATGTCGTAGCTACTATGACACACACAGCACATTCATTACTTCTGCTTTTGTGATGATGCGGGTGTAAATGGGTATAAACAAACCTAGTGTGCTGCCAGTTGGATAAAAGTCTAGCACACACAATTATGTACAGTGCATAAAACTTTAATGATAATAAATGACTATATTACTGGTTTATGGATTTACTATACTATACTTTTAATCATTCTTTTAACGTATACTCCTCCTACTTATATAAAAAAAAAGCTAACTGTAAAATAGCAGGCTGTTCAGGAGGTATTCCAGAGGAAGGCATTGGCCTTGGGTACCCTCTACGGCCCCATGCATGTTATTGCCCCTGAAGACCTTCCGGTGGGACAAGATGTGGAGGTGGAAGGCAGTGATATAGATGACCCTGACCCTGTGTAGACCTGGGCTAATGTGCACGTTTGTGCCTTTATTTTTAACAAAGGCTTTGAAAAGTAAAAAAAAAAAAAGAAATAGTCAAAAAGCTGATAAAATAAGGATAATGGAAAAACTGACTGGGCCTGGTGGCTCACGCCTGTAATCCTAGCACTCTGGGAGGCCGAGGCTGGTGGATTGCTTGAGCTCGGGAGTTGGAGACCAGCCTGAGCCAGAGCGAGACCCCATCTCTAAAAAATAGCCGGGCATTGTGGTAGGCGCTTTTAGTCTCAGCTACTTGGGAGGCTGAGGCAGAAGAATCACTTGAGCCCAAGAGTTTGAGGTTGCTGTGAGCTATGATGCCCCAGCACTCTACTGAATGAGACTGTCTCAAAAAAGAAAAGAAAAGAAAAGAAAAGGATAGAAAGAAAATATTTTGTACAGCTGTACAGTGTTTGCATTTTAAGCTCAGTGTTATTACAAAGTCGTATTCTAAAGTCTACGGTAGCACACAGTAGCGTCCTTGACCTTCACATTCACTCCCCACTCACTCCCTGACCCACCCAGAGCAACTTCCAGTCCTGCAAGCTCCCTTCATAGTAAGTGCTCTGTACGGGCGCACCGTTATTTCATCTTTCACACTGTATTTTTACTGTACCTTTTCTATATTTAAGTATGTTTAGATACACAAATGCTGGTATAACCTGGATGTTTATAAATGCTTTTAAAACATACATCATCTTTACCTCGAAAATTTCTTATTCTCCTGAGATGATATGATACAGTCTGAAAGACAGAGATGGCTTAATGAATAAAGATTTGTATTGGTAATATCCAAAGGTGGTTAAAAAACAGGCCCTAACACCTGGCAGTGGCCGAGAGCACTGTTCACTGGACAGGAAGCCCAGATACCTCTGTTATGGGAACCCCAGCAACCTTCAACCAATGGTCTACCCGCTCTGCCTCTCAGTTTCCTCATCTGAAAGAAAGAGGTTGGGATCAATCGCTTCTAAGGCTCTTTCCAATCCTAAAATGTTGTATAATTTTCTCTGAATTCCAGGAGGGAAAAATGAAGTTCGGTTCTCAAAGCACAGTCCATTTCTTGTTCGTTTCTTCTTTTCCATGTAGCACGTGATATGGCTATTCAGTAAGTTCTTGCCGAAATGAAACTAAAGGAGTTATCATTCCTTCAGTTGATTCGTGTTAGATGAGAAATAGCCGCCGTACGTCTCAGCAGGAGTGTTTTATTAACCCATCCTCAGAAGCGCTCTCTTTATTCTTTTGCAGTTGTCCCCATGACTTTGCCAACTACTGTCCTAAGTGCCCACCGTAAATCGCTGAATCTCGTTGATTCTCCGCAGCCCCTCCTAAAAAAGGTAAAGTATTTGGAATAGCTTTTTAAAATTTTTTTTGTAAGTGTAAAGTTATACAATTCTGGGTTAGTCCCAAGAGCTCTTTTAAATGTTGGAACTCGAAAGAAAGAGGATATTCCTTGATATGCAGGACCTTTAGGTTTAGAAGCTTTGGGGTTTGATGTGAACCTAATCGCTTAGTTGTTTGGGATCTGATGTGCATCAGTATTTACGTCCGGGAGTCACTATGGAAGTTTTGAGACAGACTGTGTTATGGTCCGTTATTTCACTTCCAAGAAACACAGTGGACAGCGTCCTTTCTGATTGACCTGTGCGAGTTTCTCCTTCCTTGGGTTATCAGTGTTGCTAGGAGGGCTTGATTTGTTTCCGTCCAGGCAGATTTTATGTGTCTCGATTTTTGTGTATCTCAGAACTTTCATTATGACCCATGGACACTGAATTTGATGCAAACTCTCATATTCTGCCTACTAGAATAGGAAAAGGCCTTTCTGCCTACTCATCAGAATCTATGTAGCACTAGAGGAGATAAACCAGCTCACTACCTACCCGTTCCCTCTGTCAGCCAGCCAAGGTGGAACTACTTACAGAAGAGAGTACAGGACTCTTTGTTCCTAATATCTTAATGGAATTTTAAAACCCCATAAAAGCTTCCTCAGGAGAATAGAATCTCACGGTGTTCCTCATTGATTTCCAGAAGTCTTTTCTGACTTTATCTCACATGAACAGAACGATTCAGTGCCTGATAGAGACTATTTTAACCTAACTTCAATTTTAGGTTATTTAAAACATACTTTCTGTGTTTGTTTTGCTTTCAAAAAATATTTTATTGAAGTCAAACCTACATACAGCAAAGTACATAAAGCATAGAGCCCAGTGAATTGTCAGTGAGCCAATATACCCGGTAAATGGCCACCCTCTGCGTCCCTTCCCCGTCACTTCCTCCCCCTCCAGTCCAAAGATAACTGCTGTCCTGATTCCTAACACCAGGGGTTAGTTTGGTCTGTTTTTGAACTTTGCATAAATAAAACTGACAAATCTTTTAACCTGTTCAGGCTGGTTTCTTGTAAATGTTGACCAGCACAGTGATTCACCGATCAAAAATAAGTCAAAGCCTATAAATAAAAAGGGAGAAAAGATCACCGAGAAATGGGAGCACAGCACGGCCACAGAGTTCCGAGACCAGGTTGCTGTTTTACTTCCTGATCTTCTGAAAGTTCCCACACTCAGTCCCTCTCCCCGTTTCTTGCCTTTTCTGTGGCCAGCCTTCTGAAGGTGACTTCCAGTGGCCCAGAGATGACCATGGTGAAGTAGACTGTGAGAAGCTGGTTGAGCAGCTGAAAGATTGTTCGAATTTGCAGGATCAAGCAGACATTCTGTACATTCTTTATGTCATAAAGTAAGTGTCTTCATCCATTCAGGCAGCTATCACATAATGCTGTAAACTGGGTATCTTATAAACCACAGAAATTCGGCCGGGTGCGGTGGCTCACGCCTATAATCCTAGCACGCTGAGAGGCTGAGGCAGGAGGATTGCTTTTGAGCTCAGGAGTTTGAGATCACCCTGAGAAACAGCGAGACCCTATCTCTACTAAGAATAGAAAACATTAGCTGGGCATTGTAGTGGGTATCTGTAGTCCCACCTACTTGGGAGGCTGAGGCAGGAGGATTGCTTGAGCCCAACAGTTTGAGGTTGCTGTGAGCTATGATGCTACAGCACTCTATCCTGGGGCAACTGAGCAAGACTTGATTGCAAAATAAGTAAATAACCCACAGAAATTCGTTTCTCTGAGTTTTGGAAGCTGGAAAGTTCAAGATCAAGGCATATTCAGTGTCTGGTGGGGGCAGGCCCACTTTCTCATAGTGGTACCTTCTCACTGTGCCCTCACATGATGGAAGAAGTGAGGAAATTGTCTGGGTCCCCTTTATATGGGACTCTCATTCAGGAGGGCTCCACCCCCACAACCTAATCACCTCCCAAAGACCCCACCTTCTTATATCCTAACCTTAGGGGTTAAGGTTTTAGCATATGAACTGGGGAGAATCCAGCAAGGAGACCATAGCATTAAGTTTCTGGTTTCTTCACCAGGTTGAGTTTTCTCAGTTTTCCTTCTTTTTCCAAGTCCTTTTTGGCCTCCTGGCCAGCCCTGGTCATGACCCAAATTACCCAGGATCACCATGAATGAGACTGCCCTGCCTACTGATGCTTTCCGGACAAGAAGTCTGGCTGAGGCCAGATCCCACAATGTCCTGATGTTAGGCTTCTCTTTCAAAGACATAGGGATGCTTTGGTAGGAGACTACCCTGTCAGAGAAACTGAGGCACTGGGAGCACCCAAGCACTTGGCAGAACGTGCAATGATTCATTCTTCTCCCAGCCTTTGAACATTCCGGGTCAGATTTCTGGCATTTTCTACCTCTTGACAGGGGTCCTAGCTGGGACACCAATCTCTCCGGACAGCATGGGGTCACCGTTCACAGCCTTCTGAGTGAGCTCTACGGGAAAGCCGGCTTGAACCAGGAGTGGGGATTGATTCGCTATATCTCGGGCCTGCTCAGGAAGAAAGTAGAGGTCCTGGCCGAGGTCAGAGCAACTGTGCCCATTCGTCCTCTCTAGCCCCAGGCCCTCTTCCTCTTCTGGTTCTAATCTAGAGAGGGAGCAGGCCCTCCTCTCCTGACCGCCTACTGCTCTGGGAAGGCGAGCAGAGGGAGGGACATTTCAGTGGATTAGTTTTGTTCTTTCTTAGCTGCAGAAAAAGCCTTGCCAAGAAACCAAATGAAAATGCCTGTGGCCTGGCATCCTCTTAACAGAGTTCGCTTTTTTCTGTACATCCACAGTACAGTGATCATTAGTATTTGAAGCCCTGAAGCCTTGCAAAACCCAGAACCACTTTGTAGGACATTTGAGTTCAGTGTTAATGGTAAGGGTATGGTATTAATTACAGGTGCATAATGAAGAATCCTCACGTCTTCCCATGGCTGTCTCAGTTGAGTATCAGGGAGTCCAGTGCCCTCGCTGCAGTGGACGGGCACTAAGTGCCTATGAAGGGCCCTGCAGGACCAGCCTGGGGCCACACAGTGGAGGCACCAAGACCACAGGGACCTAGTCTGGCATCTTCAGTATGAACTTTTTACATAAAGGGCAGCACGGGTCATAAAGTTTGTAAAGGTAAACTTAGGGTCTTATTAGCAGCTCCCCTCTCAGCCTCCCTCACGCTCACCCCTTCTCCTAAATGTGTAGGCCTGCACGGACCTGTTGTCACACCAAAAGCAGCTGACGGTGGGCCTGCCGCCCGAGCCCCGGGAGAAGACCATCTCTGCGTAAGTCCTTGGGCTTGGGGACCTCAGGTTTGTGGGGCTGTGGGGAAAACATCGGTGCTGTGCACCCGTCAGGAGGAGGGGCTCTGTAAAGACACTCTGTCACATGGGTGCTTCTGACACAGAAAATGGGGATCGTCTGTGGAGGGTAAGGAGGCACTGCCAGGGCACCTCTCGGGGTTTGTGACTAATGCTCCTTTCTAGGCCCCTCCCCCCAGAGGAGCTCACCAAACTCATCTATGAGGCCAGCGGGCAGGACATCAGCATTGCCGTCCTCACGCAGGTCAGTGGCTGGCGCGGGGCAGGCCAGACGCAGCCTTCCTTGGCGTGGCAGCATCCTCTCAGCCACCCCTGAGTCTCTGAAACCATGTCTCGGTGTGTGTCCGCATCAGGAGATTGTGGTTTACCTGGCCATGTACGTCAGGGCCCAGCCAAGCCTCTTCTTGGAGATGCTCAGACTGAGGATCGGCCTGATCATTCAGGTGATGGCCACCGAGCTGGCTCGGAGTCTGAATTGCTCAGGTGAGACGCAGGCGGCTCAGCCCACCTGGCTGGGGCCGCTCAGAGGGGAAGTCCTGCTCAGGTATTCTCGATTCTGATCCTTTGGGCAAGCTCAGGTTTGCCCAGCTTCTCTGGTTGGGATGTAACTCCCATCGAGCCCCTAAGGTCCTAAGCTGGGGGGCATAGGGGGATGAAGCACTAGCGATGCTTCCATCAGCCCCTCAGAAGTCACGCAGAATCTTCCGCCCTGCACCTGATGTCTGAGCTCCTTTCTGGGTCTCCTTGCCATGAGATGTCACCCCCATTCAATAACACCTTCGCTGGGAGAAATTCTGCCAGTTGAAATATAAAAATCAATTGCCGAGCACATCCCAACACCAGGGATCAGTACAATGTGTGAAAAAATTGTGTGTCTAAGGATTAAGTAAATACACGATTTAAACAGCAGCATTTCAAGTCACTGCCGATCAGACACAATGGCGAGGTTCTCCTGAGTGGCTGGGGGGGTTCCCTGCCACGGCATCCTTGGTCACCCCCTCAACACCCAGGTCCACTTAACCCTACTTTCATCTGCCACCATCCCTGTGTCTGGGGCACTTAAGAAGGTATTTGTTTTCAGGAGAAGAAGCTTCTGAAAGCTTAATGAACCTCAGCCCTTTTGATATGAAGAATCTGCTGCACCATATTCTGAGTGGAAAGGAGTTTGGCGTCGAGAGAAGCGGTGAGTAGCTGCTCCTGGTAGCTCTCCGGGGGCTGTTCTTTCTGTGCTAGTCACCAGGGCTAGAGATCTGTAAGGAGAGGGACGGAGTCCCAGACTCCAGCTTCCTGCCTCTCTGGCTTGGGGGGTTTGCAGGGAGAGCTTTTCTTCCCCACCGTGGCATGGCACACGCACGCGCTGTGCCGCCTCCTGCGGCCATAAGAACCAGGTGCCACCATCTGTGCACAAGTGTTGGAAGTCAGGGGGAGACCCCAAGCATCAGGATGAAAGGGCTGTCCTTTCAAATCACCTGAGCGTCCTGCCTTGGGTTTGGGTGAATATTTCTCACCCACGCCTCCCGCCACCTTCCACAGGGCAGGAAGAAGCCCCCCGTGTAAACTCACAGCACGGTCCTGCTGGGTTAGTTTGCTTTGTGCTATCTTCCATCTGTGCTGGAACCCTGTTTGTGGGGCTAGGAAATAGCATCGCCCAAGTCCTGGTGTGATTCTCATTCTCAAACGCTCCCTAATTATAATTGAAGCAATTATCATTTCTCCTCATAAAAAAGCTGAATGATTTGCAGACTCATCGGTGAATTTATTTCATCAAGCCAAAGCAATGCACTGTGGGCTCTCAGTCTTTTTATTTAATAAAAGGGACATTGGGTCCTTTTTATGTGTCCTCGGCCTGTGCCGGCAGCAAACAGAAGCTGCATCGGGCAGCAGACGGGGATTGGTGGCTTTTCTCCTTTGCTGAAGGAGTGCTCGAGCTGCTCTTCCAAAAGTATTTTCTTGTTTTCCCAGTGCAAATCCCTGAATGTAAAGGTACGAGATAAATATTTAACGTGTTCTGCTTGTCATTACAGTATTCAACACAGATAATTACTAAAATTTGTCGTTAGCTGTAAGGCTCTAGATGCTATGAACTTACGAACCAAGCGATATCATTTGAAAGCCAGAAATATGTCTAGTTGCAAGTAAGGACTGAAGACATCCTGTCTTTTAAAAATGTAGCATCATTTGTTGTTAATTGTCCTTTGTAATCGTTCAATTTTTATAAATTAGGAAGCTTAGATAGGCTTAGACTTTTGATTAAATCCTGAGCGTCTGTGATGAATATTTCCAGGAAATACTCCCTCCACCCAGGCCCTCCTGTGGCTTCCCGGACCTGCTTTGGCTTCTGCTTTCCACTTCTCTGGTGTCCCTCTTCCTTCTCTGGCCGGTCACCGTGACTCCTTTGTGGGCTCCTCCCTCTCTGCTGTCCTTTAATGTGGGTGTCCCTAGTCCCTTACCTGTTTCTACTTCCGCTGACAGTGTCGTCCACTCCCATGGCCTTGGTGGGGTTGGGTGGGAGGGTGGCGCATGCAGGGGATGCTGTCTGTGGACGTGACCTTTGAGCTGGGCCTGCTTTGCCAACATGTGCCAGTGCCCAGTGCAGTGTGGCTGGCCTGGAGTAGAGGGACAGGGTGGGCCCCAGTCAGTAGGGCTTTGGGTGGAGCTGGGAGGATTGTTTGGGCTTCATGGTGAAAACAGCTAGGCGTGGGAAATTCTGAGTGGGCAGTGAGTGATCACACGTCCCTTTAGAATGAGCATTGGGACCGTAGCACAGAGGCAGGGCTCATGGAGGGGCAGAGCCGGGGACAGGTGTGAGTCCCAAGGCTGTTGTTAGTAGGTAGGAAGTGAGGGCTGGTCACCTGGCCCGGTGGGGAGAGCCTCCCTGCCCTGCCCCTCGGAACTCCACCTCTAGTCCCTGGCCACCTGGCTGTCCCAGCACTTCCCTCTCCAGCCTGAGGTCCTCCAGAGACACTGCCACTGTCCCACCTCCATTTCATCTGGTGCCTCACTACACGACCCAGGGCGTGGACTCCCCTCTGTACACCACGGCAGCCCTGGCTTCTGCCGCTGAGCTCTGCCAGCCCTGGGCGCCGCTGGCCCTGGGCAGTGCTCATTCCCACCTGCACACAGTGCCCTGGCAGGGACGGCCACTCTGGATCACCTAGCCCATGGCCACAGGGGCCTGCGCTACAAGCCCCTCAGGAACCCATAGCGGTTCTGTCATTTCCCTGGGGCATTCCAAAGGTCACGGGTGACTGGGGACAGAATCCAGCAAGGTCAGGCTGAGTCCTATATGTTAATCCTGACAAAATACAAATGGGATTGGGTATATCATTCACCACTCATCACTCACAAAGTCAAATGACTTCATTAAACTTGATGTGATAGAGTATGTAAAGCTATGGAAAGACATTCACGACATATTAAGTGCAAAAAGGCAGGTCACGGAACTGTACATACGCCCGTGTCATATATGTATCTATCTCATGTGCTTATGTAGCTATACAAATGTGTGTGATGATGCTGTTTTGTAAGATAAAAGCAACTGGAAAATTTTTTTTAGAAGGATAACAACTAAAATGTCAATAGCTCTTAGTTCCAGCTTCCTTATTTGGGCGGTTTCAGTTTTCTGCAAGGAAAGTGTGCTTTTAGATAAGGAAAACGTTATTTAAAAAATATATGTATGATAACATAAAGGGCCTTCTGGCCACTGTCTTGTGGGTGCTGCTGAAGTGCCCTGAGTACTTCTCTCCAGCCCTCTACGAGCCAGTGCCGACCCTGTCCAGCTGCGCATCACGTGAGAGACACAGGCACAGATCAAATCTACCCCAAATTTCCTCCCGTGGGGTAGATGCCAGGTAGTGCCTAAGAACCACGTGTTTGTGTGTATGTTTCACTCCATAGTGCGCCCTATCCACTCCTCCACGTCCAGCCCTGCTATCTCCATCCATGAGGTGGGACATACTGGAGTCACCAAAACTGAGAGGAGTGGCATTAGCAGACTGAGGAGTGAGATGAAACAGGTAAGAACACTTCAGTGCCAGGGAGGGGTGAGCAGTGGCTTCCCTGGCTGGACTTACCCTGGAAAGCACTAGAAACCCAGGGCCTGAAGCTGCAGCATGTTCTTTATAGAGGATGGAAGGTCTCTTCTGTCCTGGGGTCTCAACATACCCTTGTCCCCAGATAGATAGCCCAGAGCCACTCATGTGCACCTGTACCGACTCATTCTCAATGTGATGTTCACAAGAACATTCCAGAAAACAACCTTGTCAATGCTTGCCTCTGTTCCTGAGAACCACTCTTTTTTTTTTTTTTTTTGAGACAGAGTCTCACTTTGTCACCCTCAGTAGAGTGCTGTGGCACCACAGCTCACAGCAACCTCCAACTCTTGGGCTTAAGCGACTCTCTCACCTCAGCCTCCCAAGTAGCTGGGACTACAGGCACCCGCCACAACACCCGGCTATTTTTTGGTTGTAGTTGTCATTGTTGTTTGGCAGGCCCAGGCTGGATTCAAACCCACCAGCTCTGGTGTATGTGGCTGGCACCCTAGCCGCTGAGCTACAGGCACCAAGGCCCAAGAACCACTTTTTTGAGTAGGCCACAGCCATTTAAAAAGTAGAGTTATGGGCCAGGTGCAGTGGCTCATACCTGTAATCTCAGCATTCTGGGAGGTCGAGGCAGGCAGATCGCTTGAGCTCATGAGCTCAGGACCAGCCTGAGCAAGAGTAAAACCCTGTCTCTAAAAATTGATGTTGTGTTCTTTGGAGCTTCTGATCAGAGACACAGGGGAAAAAAATGGCCGGGCATTATCTTGGGCACCTGTAGTCCCAGCTACTGGGGAGGCTGAGGGAAGAGGATCTCTTCAGCCCAAGAGTTTGAGGTTACTGTGAGCTATGATGCCACAACACTCCACCCAGAGTGACAAAGTGACACTCTGTCTCAAAAATTTAAAAAAAAAAAAAAAAAAGAAAAGTAGAGTCATGCAAAAAGTGACCAATCACCTCTATCAAGTGTTCCCGTTGAATGAAACAGCAAGAGGGCCCTGGAAATACCCTGGAACACCCGTGACACCTGGAGTGCACGAGACACAGGGGTCTCTTTTCTTTGCTTACCTTTATGAACTGACCCCCCAGGGCTAAAACTCAACATCTTTTCGGTTCTAATGTGCCAGGTACTGTGCTAGGGTTTGACCATCATCATCCACGGCAGGAAATAAAGTCTCCTGACCATGATCTGCAGTGAGAAATGTGCTCAGATATTCTGCTCTGTTTCAAATGCTGATCATGACCCACTGGTTGAATTGTTGATGCACTAACGGGTCACCTCTTGTGGTCTGACCTACATGACCCCAGATTATCAGAGGGGGATAGAAGTAGCAAGGTATTCTTGACTCGAAGCTGGTTTTTATTTCCTGCCATATTTTTACTTTCAGATGACTAGGCGATTTAGTGCTGATGACCAGGTGACACATTTTTGCCTTGTTTTGTCCTTTATTGTGTGTACTTCATGTTCTTTCTGGCTTGAATGTGGAAAGGAAGGCGGTGACCCTGCAGAGTGTGAATGTGTGGAGACTGGCTCTGCTCAGCAGGCCAGCTCGGTGGAGGTGGCTCTCAGGGTGTAGCAGGCAGCCCCCAGGGGACAGGCAGAGTGTAGGACTCAAAGGCAGGGGAGAAATGACCTGGCCCCATGCCTTTAAAAACTCCATTTATCAAACTCCTGAGCTTTGTGGCATACTTCGTGAAAGAGATGGTCCAGGCTCTGCCTCAGTGGGAGTTTGTGTTCAAAAAGAGGGAAGTAAATAGGACGAAACCTGGTCATGAATTTGATCAGCAGAAAGAATACTGCTATCCTTGTCCCCAGGGCCCCAGGAGGGATTTAACTCTGGAAAGGAGGAAAAAAAATGTAAGGGTGCTGTTCTTTTATATCACCCTGGTGACACACTTCCTCCTCTCGCCTCCAGAAAACATTTCTAATGCTCCAGTGTCTGTTCCCAGGAGAGCCTAGAGGAGGCGGGTTAATGACACAAGGCAGATTCCACATGTCGTCCAAGGGCAAAACACACCTATTCTCTCCCTCCAATTCATGCTGTTTGCAAGTATGGAACCGACTTTGCAAACATCTTCCTTTGCCTGCCACTCGGTGGCACCGTCTGTCTGGTTCCACATCTCAGTGGCCTGGCCTCTGAGTGGTTCCTTCCGCCTCCATTTTACGCTGCCCTTGCGGGTTATGGGGACAAAGTGATCATCTTTCTTCTTGGATGGGTCTGGATTGAACTAGCCAGTACCAGTTTTCTATTTGGCTAACTTACATCAAAGACATATATTATTCTCTGTTCAAAATTTAATGGGTGTCCTGGCATTTTAAATTTCAGTTCACTTTTGCAAGAACACCGTGTCTGAATAGAGAACATTATGCCCACGTGAGCAAAGGGGACAGTGTAGATTTTCATAAGGAAATATTTGCTTGGCCAAAGGTAGTCAGCCTGATCATATTTGTTCACTTAACAAATATTGAGTGAAGATTCTGTAGGTGCAGATGTTAGTGTCAGTTCCAGGTATTTTGTTGATGTCTGTAGATTTTCACAGCTCTTGCCATAAAAGAGTAACATTTTATGGCTGCAAGTTTAAAAAAGAAATTGTGTCTTAACTCCATTAGGCACCCTCCATATTCGGCTCTAACCAGGTAACATTTACTATTTAAAGAAAGACCATAGAGCAAGTTTCTGGCGGAGGGAAGCCCAGCGCTGCCCAGAGCCCTGAGCTGGCCTGGCCTGCGTTCTGAGTAGAACTGCCCCAGGCCTGCGTTCTCTGCACCTTCTCTCCGTGGGTGTTCTGGATGCTATTCCGTGTGCCTCCTCTCTGCTTGTGTGTCTTGCTGTCATTGCACATGACTGCGTTGACTCTGTGTTTTAGTTCTTTTCTGTGGGCATTCGTCCATGTCTGTGGTAAACCGTGTGTTGGGGCCCTTGTCCCTCCCTGCCTCCTCCCTGCTGAATCAGTCCTTGTCTCCCTCCTCATCCCTGGCTTCTATAGATTTGAGCGGGTTGAAGCGTTTGCATTTGCCATGACAGGCTCCTACCAGTGGGAATTCTGAGGCGAGTTTAGAAAGCAGGCCAAGACGTTCTTCATCTTTCTTTGCCATCCTGAGCTCCCAGTTCTCCACTTGAGCTCCTCCACGTGGTGTGGGTGAGGAGTGCTCTCCTCACCAATGCCCAGGGGCTTCTGGAACCTTCGGAGCATTGGTTCCATGCCTTTTCCTTACACCATGGCAATGAACCCTTGCAGACTAACAGTCTGTACCCCTGATGCCCCAGTGGGGGTGAGGACCCCGATCCAGGGGAGGACTAGGAAAGGTGCCCATCGCAGAGAGGAGTCCCAATCTTCCTCCCCAAACTAGAAGGACAAAATCTGAGTCACTGGTGAGTGCCGCTGTAATTACTTTTATTTGTATCTAACTGTTGCCTTATTTAAATGGTAGTAATAAGCCCAATGGAATAACCCAACCTAATTGACTTTTCAAACTAAGATCTGTTGAAGTCCAAATGAGGGCAGTGAGAAGGGCCCTGCCTCCTGCCCTGCTAGTGTGCTTAATATTCAGATTTCATTTTCAGCCCTTCAAATTTGGTGTTGCATATAGAGAAACAAAAGTGCCAAGAGCAGGAAATATAGAAAGCAGATTGGAAAGGTGGGTAGACCATGAGCTCTGGGGTCCCTGTTTCTAAGTGCGACTCCCAGCCTTTACTGTCTGCCTTTTCCTACAAATCTTCCCCCCACCCCGTGTTATATGTCATGTTCTCTGTGGCACCAGCCCTACGGGTAGGTGGCTGTCACTCCTTTGTAGCACTGCAGCAGGCTCACCTGCTCTAGGGCCGGTGGCCCCCTCAATTCTCTCCCATTGTGATGAGATGGGCTCCACACGCCAGGCCTGCATCCTCTTGGGGAGCAGCCCTAGTGGTGACACCTGCCCTCATGAGCACTTGGCAAAAGCCAGGCTTGCTCCTAGGGGTTTCTGTGTCTTCATTCAGTGAGTGCTCACAGGCAACTCTCTGGCTGAGGCCCGTTGCATCCCCATGTACAGAGGCGGCCGAGGCCTGGAGTTAGCAGCAGGGATGGCCTGCCTGGACTGGTTCTGGACACAACTAGTGTTGAGGGGGCTCAGCACCCCCACAGCCTGCACCCGGGCCTGGGCCCCTACCTGCTCGGCCTCCTCCCTGTGAGTTCGGGGTCCTTTGGATGCCGTACCACCTCTTGGGGCTGTGGGGGTACACAGAGGGAGTTAAGTAACCAAACCACAGCACAGAGATCAAGCCGGAGTCAAGCAGACAAGGAGGAATCAAGGAACCATGTTTCCCTCTGGGCAGGCGGGGTTCTGGTATTTCTGACTAGTTCCCTGAGTGACCTTCAGGCTAGCCAGCATCCCTGAGGCTCCTGAAGGCCACATGCTGTCTTGCAGAGGTCCAGCACCCCGTCCTCGCCCACTGGAACGTCTTCAACAGACTCAGGAGGACATCACATTGGCTGGGGGGAGCGGCAGGGCCAGTGGCTGCGCAGGAGAAGACTGGATGGGGCCATCAACAGGGTCCCTGTGGGCTTCTACCAGAAGGTGTGGAAGATTCTTCAGAAGGTGAGTTTGGCTACCCTGCTGCAGTCCACAGGCATCAGTGCTGGGAGATGCCTGCTGCCAGGGAAATGAGCTGCCCCCCTATGGCCTTGGTGAGGTGCAGTGGCCCCTCCAGGCACCAGCTGGCATATGGCTATAGGACGAGCAAACACGGCCCAACTGCAGGGTATCTCCACTTTGGCACATTCAGGCCAAGCCATTCTCAGTTATGGGGACTGGCCCATGCCTTGGAGCATGGTGAACAGCATCCCTGCTCTCCCTGCTGGATGCCAGTAGTACCTGCTCCCCCAGCTGTGACAAACAGGCGCCTCCAGATACTGCCAAGTATCCACTGGGAGGCAAATCCCCCCCCGGTGGAGAACCAGTAGCTGGAACCACAGCAAGTAATACATGATAGCCGCCCTGGCTGTGTGGGACACGTAGACATAGTGGACACCATAGACAAGTCAGAAGGCAGGCAAGAACTGAAGCAGGAAGGGAAGGCCGTGGATGAAAATACTGGAACCCAGGTGACCCAGAACAGCCCCACAGAGCTTAATGACACTTCAGGAGGGGCCTGGAGCAGGCCAGCTCCCAGCTTCCTACATGTTCAGGTAGGCATAGTATCCCCATTATTCAGAGACAGGAGGGGTCCTGTGGACATACAGAAATGGAGAGCTTCCAGTCTGGCCCCAGGTCCCATGTGCCCTGATGGCACAGTCTCGCTCATATCCTGGACCACCCCTGCCTCCTCCATGGGGGCCCCTGTGCCCCACTCCCGTCAGCAGCTGCCCTCTGTGTTTCCCATCTGCCTGGGGATGCATCCACGCACCTGAGTGCAGGGGACCCTGCCCGAACACCTGTTACCGGGGGGAGCATTATGGGAAGACAGGCCCCCTTGTTCTCTGCCCCCCACATTCTATCTCCTGCCCACGTTGGCCTCACAGCATTTGTGCATCTCTCCACACCCTACAGGGGGACAGCTTAAAAGCTTCTGTGCAAACCAAGACAGAATTTTTTCCCCTAAACTATTTCATTTTAGCTCATTTCACAGTAGAAGAGAGAAAAATAATCCCAAATGAGAGCACATTACAAGTCTCTCCTGCAGCCTCGGCACCATTCCATCCGCGCTCCTGCAGCAGGGGCCCCGGGCCCATCAGGGAGCTTTGGGGTTCTGTGCTTTGTGGGACCCAAGGTGTTCATCACAGCCACCACAGAGGGGGTGTGAGGACCTCAGAGCAGGCCCTGCGTGTGAACAGGAGAACTCATGGTACCCAGTGACCCACGTTGGAGCCAGCAGAGGCCGCTGGTCCCCGTTCTCAGCCTCTCTTCTGGGGGTGAGCATGTTTGGTGTGGCCGAGGACAGGGCATTGGGATTTAGATGGCGCCCAATGGGACCAGAGCAAACTGTACCTAGAAAATCTCCCCCCTCTTCCTGGGGCATCACCTGCTTCCATCCAGACTTCCACTGGCCCAATGCCAAGATGGTTTTATTATGAAAAAGCGGCATTTTGTGTTGAGCCGGTATTTATATACATGGGTGTGCGTGTGCGTGTCTGTGCATGTGCTGGAGTCTTTTGTGATTGGTGCTTATTATAGAAATCTCAAAAATAGACGCCTGCAAAGGCACAGAGGCATTACTGCGCCAGCAGGAGCCATGAAAATCTCCCTTTATTATGGCACCAAAGGGGGCCTCGCAGCCGCCAGGGTCGAGTTGCCAAGCGAAAGGCAGAGCCTCCAGGGAGGACTGTGCGGCTCCCCGGGGCATTGTTAGTGCAAGATCTGAAAGACGCCTGCTGGTTTCCCTAGGATTATTCCATCGAAAACACAGCCTGTGGGCAGTGAGAACAAGCTCTCTAAAAATAACTCTGACAGTCTGGCTGCTCCAGCCCTCGTGCAGGTTTCCAGGCCAGAGAGTGCTACGTGTGCGCGTGTGTGCATGCGTGTGTGTGCGTGTGCACACGTGTGCATGCATGCTTCTCGTCATGTTCTGCACTCTCACTAAAATGTGCTGTGTTCTGCCTCCAGTGCCATGGACTCTCCATAGATGGTTATGTGCTCCCATCCTCAACGACCCGAGAGGTACGGTGAGAAGGTGCCAGCCCTTCCCTGGGCTCCACCAAGCGCCTCATTTCATAGGCTCTGGCCACTGGCACGTCTTTCAAACTTGTCACGTATAGATAGGCCATTTGTAGATCTGAGCTTTTTAGCCACTTAACCCCCAATTTTACAAAACTTCCTTCCCACATTTGTTAGCACAAATTTCTCTCACATTTTTCCCTCTCTTCTGCACCTCAGAAGCAGCATTTCTGGGCTATCAAGCTCCTTAGATTGCCCCAAGACCCCTTAAGACTCTCCTGAGAGAAAAGAGCCAAGCTCCATGCCACACTCACTGGTCCCTTTCTCCCGCTGAAAGCATCATCTTCCCTGGCTGATTTGTCTGAAGCCATAGTCCACAGTTCATGGGGTAGAGAAATCAGACTAGGACAAGGCTGGAATACCCCCAGGGGAGACCCCAGGGAAGAGCTCTGGCCTCCTGCTGCAGTACAGGACAGTGGGCAGAAAGGGGGGCGGCTGAGCTGAGCCCCCACTCCCCCACCCCAGACAGTGCTGTGGTTGCTTGGTTATCGGGCTGTGCCTGTCCTGTCTCTCACTGCTGGTCTCCTGCCTGTGCTCTCACAGATGACCCCACATGAGATCAAGTTCGCTGTCCATGTTGAGTCGGTGCTGAACCGTGTGCCCCAGCCTGAGTACCGGCAGCTGCTGGTGGAAGCCATCATGGTGCTGACGCTGCTCTCGGACACAGAGATGAACAGCATTGGGGGCATCATCCACGTGGACCAGATGGTGCAGACGGCCAACCAGCTGTTCCTGCAGGACCAGGTGGGCGCCCAGGGTGGCCGGTTTGGCTGGCATTTGTCTGTTGGGGCTGAAGAGTCTGCATCCGTAGGAAAGAATAGACTTGAACAAGGAAAATGTCATCACAGATGGTGAAAAAATGTCACCCATTTGGTTAGAAAATGGCACAGAAGCCACTTGAGAAATCTAAAGCCCTTTGGAGGTGGACAGCCCTGTCTCTGTGTAGGTTTTAATCCAGACACCACCACTTAGTGCACATGTGGCTGTGGGTGGACAACTTACCCTGTACATAAGTCAGGTGAAGCTGTCCTCTCCTAGTCAGTCATGAGCTGCAAGCTATGGCCTGTGAAGACACAGTGCAGCACCCAGAGGAGCTTCACAATCCGCTTTTACACTGGCCTTGGGCCTCTAGCGACCTGGCCCCTCACCCACGTTCACCTGCCTCCAGCATGCAGAAGCATGACAGGGGAGTGTGGACTCTGCTTATTTGTTCCTTCTGCCTTCTCCTGCTGCAGGTGTCAGTTGGAGCCATGGACACCCTGGAGAAAGATCAAGCCACAGGAATTTGCCACTACTTTTATGACAGTGCTCCAAGTGGGGCTTATGGAACAATGACCTACCTCACAAAGGCAGTGGCTTCTCATTTGCAGGAATTGCTGCCCAGTTCAGGCTGCCAGATGCAATAGGGTCTCATTGGTAAATGTGACCACACTCTGAACCTGTCACATGCCCCCTGGCCTCATTGGAAACTTTCTATTGTCCCCCCTCCCCCAAGATCCCCTGTGCCGTCACAACAGCATGTCCCACCAGACACCCTCACAGAGAGGATATGCCAGCTGAAAGCCATAGATAGAGCTGACGAATCCTGTGTCCCCCAAAGAGCTTCCTGGGATCATCTTCGAGGTTCATTTCATTGCAACATTTGTCACAGCATCTGGTCTCGCGGACTCTGAGGAGGAATTGGAAATTGGTATCTTTTGAATGCAGAGTGAACTGAGAAGCCAGCTTAAATTGGCTCTTGCAGAGAGTTACAGAAATAGGTTCCATGAGCTAGTGACACATCTTAAAGACGCAAAGATTTTCCAGCAGCAGCAGCTAGACGACGGACCTTGACAAGGAGAACATCCTAACAGGATGCAGTCTGTCTGTCTGTGCCCCAAACTGCTTACCAAATAGAGCAATTCTTTCTGTGGGAATTTGGTTTCCTTGTGCCTCACTCTCTTAGCCTCTCCTTTTACTGGCATGCCTGCCACCATGTAACATAATTCTCTTTCGCCAAGATTTCAAAAATTGTACCTACTTCACTTTGGCTCATGGTCTTAAAGGATTTTATCCTGCTGCCCATGAACTAGGGGTTTTTCCTGCCTTATGAAAAATCCCATATCTCTGGAATCTAGCCGGGGGAAAAATGAAAGGTGAGGATCCAACTCCTCTTTGTAACCAGGAAAACTGTTGCTTTAGGGCTGGAGCAGGTAGGGAGGCTCCTGCAAAGGCCAGTGCCCACCCTCACCTCCAGCACGGGTGAGCACGAGGGGGAGTCAGCAGATGCATGGAAATGATGTGTTCCCAGAGAAACAATGCTTCCCTTGTAAAAATAGAGCCAGGCTGGAGCTTTGAACCCTCTTCATAGAAGCGCTGACATCTGAAAGCTGTCAGGTATGTATAGTCGGAGGCACTGATTTCAGAGGAGCAAGGATAGGTCCTGCCAGGGTCTGGCCCATCTCTTTTGAGAGAGAGTGGGGTGTCTCTCCAGACAGTGTCTTACCTTCAGGGAAATAATAACAGGGACAGGAGTTTCTCTAAGTAATAATAAGCTAGGAAGGACGAATAGCTGGTGGCCAGATGGCAGTGGGCCTGGTTGAGAGTTGTCAGTTAGATTTGTGGTACCTCTTTGCCTCCTAAATGGAAATGAGGCTATGGGATTGTTCCTCAGACGTGGATGTGGATGTGAAAAGATGACGACACTCTAGCTGCTCTGAGGGTGCACTAGCCCAGCGCCCCTAAAAGCCAAGAGAAGGAGCTGGTGGTTATTCTGGAAACAGAGGATAGGCAGGAGCCTCGGGTGCCTGGCAGCCTCAGCCCAAGCCAAAGCCTTGGCATTTGCCCTCAGGAAGGCCATGTGGAAAAAGTCCCACTGCACGGATCTGGGTTCACGTGGGACTCCAACACCTTGGTTTCTGCTTCTTCCTGACCCCAATATTCTCCTTACAGAGGGGCAGAGTAGTTACCGGAAGGAAAATCCCCCAAGGCCAGGTGCAGTGGCTCACGCCTGTAATCCTAGCACTCTGGGAGGCCAAGACGGGTGGATTGCCTGAGCTCAGGAGTTTGAGACCAGCCTAAGCAAGAGCAAGACCCTGTCTCTAAAAATTAGCCGGGCATTTTGGCAGCACCTGTAGTCCCAGCTACTTGGGAAGCTGAGGCAAGAGGATTGCTTGAGCCCAAGCGTTTGAGGTTGCTGTGAGCTGACACAATGGTACTCTACCTAGGGTGACAAAATAAGACTCTGCTTCAAAGAAAAATCCCCCAACGTCTCAATTTCTGCCACAGTGGACTCATGCTTTCCTGGCACCCGGGGACAGCCTGCAGACACAGCGCCTGAGGCACTGTGCAGTGGCCCCACCCCACCCTGCATCTTCCCCTTGGCTTCCAGCCAGGGCCCTTGGTGGCCGTGGGGCTGGAAGGACATGCTGGACAACAGCTGCTGCCCAGAGGCTCCATGGGCTCCCAGCCCCCCAGGTTTCATAGCATTTTTATAGCCTTTGTTTTTGGGGGAGGGGTCTTTAAGACATGCCTCACATAAACGAGAACCATAGTAATTCCTTGCCTCCCTGGGGGATCATCAAACACTGATAATGTAGGAAAGGTATAAGAAGGCATGAATGTTCCCATCGCTGCTTGGGAGAAGCTCGAGACGACTTAGAGCCCTCCCAAATGAGCCAGGTGCTAATTTAGAACAATCACCTGCCTGCCGGTGACGTGCAAAGCCACAGCTGCCGCGTCGGCCGGGAGAGGAGCCATAACCAGCGATTCAGCCGAGCCTCCGGGCCACTCTTTTGAAACCTCTTCAAAATGAAATCCCGAAATAGGACTGCATTTCCACAGGCATCAAGCTGTCAGCTTCAAAGAAGGAGGACCGGCTTCCGAGGCTTGATCCCTTTAGTGAGCAGCTGAGGCGCTCGCTGAGGAGAGCAGCAAATGTTTGAGGTGCTAACACCAAGTGCACCAGGGGGACCCACTTTCCACGCCAGTCGGGAGTGGGGACACAGCCCCTCGGGCCTCTGGTCTGGGCTAGCTCCTTCTGAACACCCCTCGGAGCTGAGAAGCCAGTTTGGGCCTTTGCTGGGGCTGGGGGGGTTAGTATGTTCTGCCTGGGGCACAAGCCCGTGGAGCCGGAACACTCATTTCTTTTCACATCTTTGGCTGAGAAGCAGCTGGCGCCTCACCTGCTGCTGTCCCTGGCCCTGCGTGGAGGTGAGCTCAGCATCCCAGTACGACACTAGTGGGTCTGTGATCTTGGATGACTGAGGGAACCTCTGTGTGCCTCAGTTTGCCCATCTGCAAAAAGTGCAGGAGGCCTCCAGACTGGCACAGGACCCACGTGGGGGGATGGCACAAGGTCCCCTAACTTACCATCCTCTGGCATTTGAGGGGGCAGAGGCTTCCTGCTTACAGGAAACCAGATATGCCAGGAGAAGGAGGCCCTGCTTGCCAGGGCCAGGTCTCGTGGGGTGGGCGCCGGTCAGGAGGTCAGTAGGGGCTGCAGCTCTTCCGAAGCATAGTAAAGGGCAGGAGATGTTGTCAGGCCTCAGCTGCCCGGACAGACAGGACTGAAATGCTCTCTGTGTGAAAAAAGAAAAACCACCAGAAGATCAGGAGGCAAGAGAAGCAGTCTGGCAGCTGATTGATGCCATTTATTTCTGGACAGGAAGACAGGAGGCTTGGCCTCCCCTGATGTAAATTGCAGCCCAGCCATCTCTTAGTTCTATTGACTGACAAATAGCTTTTGTCTTTTCTGCTTCCTTGTTGTCAAAGGGTACAAAAGCCTCTCACCCAGTCCCTTTGTGCCATTATCTTTCAAGGTGACTCTTACGCGTTTGAAGTCCCTGCCATCTGCTCTGTGGCTCTTCATTTTGCAGAAGGTGAGAGCACCATGTTCCCAGAATGCCTTCTGTTCTCCGGGACGTGGCCACTGATAGCTCTGCCTGGGAGGGGAAAAGAAAGCAGCATTGTCACTGTCTTGGAGCCAAGTCCCCTTGTCTCCCTCAGAAAGCCACTCAGGAAAGCCATAGCTTTGCGTTACCAACAGAGTTCTCTGAGGAATGAGAAGACCCGAAATGCAGAAGAGACTATTCTTTAGCCTAACGTTTGGCACGTCCGACTGATGCTTTGGGAGAGGGACAAATTCCTTCAGAAAACTACTGTGGTTTTCTTTAAAGGAACATATGTGCAACTTTGGCAAAAATGCCTTCTTAGAAGGGCTGGAATAATTGGAACCAATGAACTCTAGAGTCACGTGATTCGTCCCTCCGCCTTACTGCAATATGTAAACTATTCTGAGAAATGAACGAATCTAACAGCATTTCTTCGTGTGCACTGGGGCCAGGCGTTGGGGGGCAGGCAGAAATATGGCCTGCTGTGATGGGGGATGAAAGCGTCTGTTTCGCTTTTGAAGGCCTCTGAGGAAGGGCAATCCTTGGGCTCCTGTGGTGAGCGTTTGCCAGTTCCCAGCACTGGCCTGGCAGGACATTTGCATCTTGAACTCAAATTCTGTGCAGCACTGGTCTGTCTCTCAGCGGGTGGCTGCCAGACCCTTCCACCTCCAGCTGGTGCGGCTGCGATGCCAGCTCTGCAGAGGGCATGGCTTCGCGTTCTCCGCATGGGCCCAAACTGCATCTCAACTGGGCACAAGAGGATGGTTGAGCCTTCCGTGTCTCTTTTGAAAGACGGTTCCAGATACAAACCCAGGCTAGGCTTTTGTCTTGGTCCATTTGTGTTGCTATAAAGGAACACCTGGGCCTGGGTAATTTATAAAGAAAAGAGGTTTATTTGGCTCAGGGTTCTGCAGGCTGGACGCTAGACACGGCACCAGCACCTGTTTCTGGTGAGGGCTTCAGGAAGCTTCCACTCGTGGTGGAAAGGAAGGGGAGCCAGTGTGTGCCGAGGTCACATCGCAAGAGAAGCCACAAGAGAGCGAGGAGGGAGGCGCCAGCTTCTTTCTAACAAACACTCACAGGAACTAATGGCTCCTTGCTGCAAGGAGGATCCAGGCCATTCATTAGGGATCTGCCTCCCGGACCCAAGCACCTCTCACTAGGCCCCACCTCCAACACAGGGGCTCAAATTTCAACATGAGGTTTGCTGGGACAAATATGCAAATTTCAGCGACTTGTCAAAGAGGTATCTCACTCGGTAACTGGCTCTATTCTCTGTGCCACCTATTGTCACTGTGTCCAAGTTGTTCTTTGCAAATAACAGAAACCAACTGTGACTGAGTCAAGTAGGAAATATGTTCACCAGGTAGAGGCTCCCTGGCCAAGACTGAGAGCCATGTCACTCCCCAGTGCTCCTGGGCTCACATGCCCCCAATGCTGGACACTGTCACTGGGGCCCTTGCCTCTGCTCTTTTGGAAACTAAATGTAGAGGCTGTTACCTGGCACCGGAATGGATTTCAAATAGCCACTAGCTGCCAATTGAAGGCCATGGGCAGGTGTGCTGCCTCCTAGCGTGGAGATGGGGCTGGTTTCATGATGTCACAGTCCTCTGACCACCCAAAACTAAGTGTCTGCTCCAGCCAAGACTCTTGGTTTTTATTCCTCTGTTCAGAAAAGAAGGATCTGTGCCCACCCCCAGGACATCTGCCCCCAAGAGCTGCCAGAAAGAGGTACACCTGCCCTTTGGGGAAGGATGTGCTTCAGGAGCAAAGAGGGGCATGCAGGGACCCTGCAGGTGGCTAGAAGTCCCAGTGGCCACCTCGGGGCTCAAGGCAGGACAGCTGTTTGTTCTCTCTCCAGGCAGAAGTGCTACCAAGCTATAGTGGCTGGACTGCCCAGCAGACCCCCTCCCACCACCCAGCATCCAAGAAGCTGGCATAAAACAGCCCAGCAAAGCCCCGGGGAATTGCCAGTGTGCCTGGCTTTTTTCGTGATCGCCAGCCCAGCCCCATTAGAGTTTTCGTGGACCCTGAGTGACAGCCCA